TCAGCCTCGCCCCAGTGCCCAGCTGAGCGGCGCAGGTTTTCATAGTCGGGGTCGGGTTCTGCAGCCCGGGCCTCATCCTCCGCAGGGGGCTGCAGGCCGGGGGGCGCCAGGGGCGTGGCCCCCGGAGTGCAGCGGAAGTGCTGGTAGAATTGGACCGGAAGGCTCAAGCGGAGGAAGAGCATCTCCACTAGACTGTTCTGGGAGCCCCATGTGCGGTGGGTCAGGCGCAGGCAGGGCGGCGTGTCCACGGTGCCATCCACACGGGACACCTATGGGGAGAGGAGAGCGCTGAGCAGTTGGTCCCAAACCTGGTTAGCACAGAACCGCCATTCAGCCGTAGACTACCCGCTCTGGGTGGGAGAAGCCCCCGCGGGGCACACAGCGTGGCTGTGGACGTGGGCTAGCCTTCACCCTGTGTCTGAGCACCTTGCACAGTGGCAGCCCCAGTCACACGCTGGAATCACTTGGGGAGCTGTAAAAACTTACCTGTGAGTAACAAATTGGCTAAAAAATAATGAATATCACCCATAAAGAGACCTGATGGCTCAGTGGTTAAGAGCTCGGTTGCTAACCAAAAAGGTTGACAGTTCAAATGCGCCAGCTGCCCCTTGGAAACCCTATGGGGCAGTTCTGCTCTGTCCTGTAGGGTTGTTACGAGTTTCAGTTGCAGCTTTGGTTTGGTATATGAGACCAAATGGTCAACAATTACTTTAAAAACAAAGATAAGAATGTAAGGGGACAGGGAAACTAGATTAATGGAAACGGAACAACCAGAACAGAAATATTGAGAATGCTCACACATTGTGAAGAATGTAAGGTCATTGAACAACTTGTGTAGAGATTGCTGAATGGGAACCTAAAAAAAAAACCCATTGCTGTGGAATGGATTCCAACTCATAGGGACCCTATAGGACAGAGTAGAACTGCTCCATAGGGTTTCCAAGGAGCAGATGGTGGATTCCAACTGCTGACCTTTTGGCTAACAGCTGAGCTCTTAACCACTGTGCCACCAAACTGCTGTGTAAACCTTCACGGAAGACACAATAAAATATTATTTTTTTAAAAATAATAAAAAATAAATTTAAAAAAGTACCTGTGCACAGGCCTCACACCAGACCATGTCATTCATTCATTCAACAAATTTTTTTCTATATGCCCTCTTGGCCCTGACATTTCTGGAATCTCTGGGCAAGGGCGGCCCAGAAGGCCCAGAGTTTTGTAAAGGCTCTCCAGGTGAACGTCTGTTAATCTTGTGTTTGTGGAAATACACCACTCGGAAACGGGCACACATCACAGTGCACAGCATGAGGCGTCTCACAGCATGATCACACCTGTGTCACCAGTACCAGATGAGAAAGCATAACTAGCCACCGCCCTCTCAAGGATAGGGAGGAGTTCCGAGGAGGAATGCACCAGCCAGCCTGGCCGAAATGGGGGCAGGGGCTGATGGAGCACTCCACAGATGGGCTCTCAAGAGTTTTCTGGAAAAATGTTCTGCATCTTACTTTGGTGAGTGGCGTCTGGGGTCTTAAAAGCTAGCGAGCAGCCATCTAAGATGCATCAATTGGTCCCAGCCCACCTGGAGTAAAGGAGAGTGAAGAACACCAAAGACACAAGGAAAGTATTAGCCCAAGAGACAGAAAGGGCCACATAAACCAGAG